CCCCCCCTCCCCCGACCACTCAAAACTATGTTCAACTTACCTTAATGGTAGATACTTCGCACGAGTTATTTGTTCTTCCTGAAGGTTGGACGTCATTCTAAAACGACATTATGACGTATTTTATTTGATTATAGTAATACCGAGTGTGAAACGTGATCATTTTCGTGATATTACTATATAATAATTTGTAAGGACATTATTTATTGGAAACGTACAAATCAACTGAGGTAACTTCATAGCATGCTTCCAATTATAAGAGATAAAGTTAAAACAAACTAGAAATTGTCTGCTACAAATTTAACGGTGTTTTCCGCAAGAGGACCTTAATATGACGTTTGACCTAAGGCTTCTCAAAACGATAGAATAATTTTTACTCTATTATTGTTTAGAGAAGCCTTATGTCAAACGTCCAATTTAGGTCCTATTGTGAAACAAAGCGTCAAACAAGTCCCTAGAATTGGCGGGGAAATCAATTCAAAAAGTGAACGATTCCAAATGATGCATACTGAAAATTGTCAAATACTTTTGTTTTGAATCTTCATCCCTTAACAACAACAAAATTAAAGCTTACAGTGCAAGTAAAGGTTAGCGCGTTTGATTTTTGATATCGGTAGACTGTAAGAGTGCACGGTGCAGTGAATCGCAAGACGGTCAGTTGTAGAGTGATAAACGATTTGAAATTATACCTAGCGAGACCCATTCTCGATACAAAACAATGACAACCTAAAATGTCGGCGTCGGCACTTCCTTAGCAACGATAGCCAGATAGCTCGATAGCATTGGGGAAGATCTCAACCTTTAGCAATCTAAGACCTATCAAGAGGCCTAGGCATCTCAAGCTTAACTATGTCCAAAAAGGTTCGATGATATTAATGAAGTCGGACGTTTGACTGGTCCATGCCCTAATGTATGTTAATTGCCCTACAGTACGTCCTTAATGCTCACCTCTTCCGAGAATGTAACAAGAAGACGTTCAATGTCTCTATGGCTATCTTCATTCATACTTGTTATGATGAATATTATAGCAACATCTCTACATATTTCTACTTTCGGTTTGTGTAGGATTAACGTTACACACTTTGCACGTACACGCACAGACATGATCAATGTATATAATGTACAAACTATTATATTTCACAGTTCTACAGGAGTTCTAGATCTATACCCCATAAAATAATCAACACATATTTGTAAAACCAGTCTGAAACCTTGATAATAATGACACCTCACCTCTGATCAATCGGTATTACTGCTAGCGTCAACAGTCGCTGTAAGTTTGGGATATTTGTTCAAGTCAGATTCATTACATACATGCGCATCAAGAGGATCCGTGTGTAGCCAGTGCAATTTTAAATATAGATCTATTGACTCTTATTTCAGTGTAGTACAAAATATAACACAAGGGAGATAACAGGACAAAATGTGACCATAATATAAGTTATTTGCGTATTTGAAAATCGTGTATGTTTTATGGACATAGATGGTCCTAAAAGAGTTTCTCATTTATAAGCTTTTCTTTTGTATATATACTCATCCATAGTATACGCACTGACCAATATCCTTTTATGTTTAGGCTGAAAAAGGTTAAACCTCTAAGCTGGTATCTGCCATAAATACGTGGTATCGTCAAAATATTCCTGGTGACCTCCCAACGAATTATGTATCGGAAAAGCACGTGCTATTGTTTTTAAACTGCATTGCAATCTGAATATGTAACAAAATATGCATCAATTTTAACTATGTTCATACTTATAAAGCAAGTCCTTTGTATGGTAATTTAAACAAAGGATTAGTTTGAGGGATCGGATGTTCAGAGAATACGGTTTAGCATCCCAACCACATTTTATTCTTTCCTTCATACAAACGAAGGAAAAATCGATTTATATCACCATTTGTTGATTATGTCCTTTAACCATCTATAAGTTGTATTGTTGGTTTGTTCCTGATGACGTCACGACGGATTAAATATCGAAAAATCACGGGATAATGTAATAAAACTTCATTTAAGCATTGAACTGTTACCAGATGCAGTATACAGTCGATATGAATTCAATTTGAGTGACAGATAAAAATTCTATTTATCTGCCGCTCAAATTGCATTCATATCGGCTGTATACTGCATCTGGTAACAGTTCAATGCTTATATTTACATTTATATAGTTTGTTTTTAACTGAAGCAAAAATATGTTTAAATTTCCCGCTTATCATATCAGTGACGTCAGTAAGTTCAAATCCCAGAACAGCCGAATTTTCCAGAAGAAATAATATAGTCCCTCGTGTCATTGCAAACCACACGCACATAAAATGGTATGAACACAAAATTAACTTTATTTTTTATTTCATATGAGTGTGTATATGCTGAACAATTGTTACTAATTGCATAACTTCTGCTTGTTTAAAATTAAAGCTGTTTTTCGCGCATTGATAGATTACTTGTATTTGGAAGTGATCATCATGATGCGGCGCTGAACGGACTTGATTGTTTCCTCGGAAAAGCTGATGTTTCCATCGACTGGAATATTACGTTATTTTCAGAAGCAAATATACTCAGTGGTCCTTTCAGTAGGTGATAACGATTCCAAGGTATTTAGTTTGAAACAGATTCCATGTCTAATCGGCCAGATTAGCATCGCTAGCAGACGACGTTCGGATGGGCTCGGTTTCGTGATTTTGAGTAATGGATGACATCACTGAAGAACCACAACACTTAAAAAGATATTTATGCACATTCTAAAACCTTGTCGATACCCTCGACCTTTACAGGATTTTATAAATGCTGAATTTTAGTGTTGTGGTTATTCACTCAAAATCTCGAAACCGAGCCCCTGTGTGATGACGTTGACAAACTTGGTAATTTCGTATCTTGAATGGCGCTTACAATAATGTTGTGGTACCTACACATCTAATAAATAAATTGATATTGTCATAATTTGTCAAGTTGTTTTACTTTTTTTGCGATGACCGACATTGCTAAATGCTAACGAATCCAGAAAGTTCTCTGACTATAGGCCTATTGATATCGAAAGTATCCGGTTGCCATGTATTCCTACACTGACCGTATCACTGTAAATTGTAGTATACAGTCTCATATATTGCAAATATCGTTTACTAACGACATACAGTGTATAAGCCCGTACTACGGAAGCCAGTTAGTGCCACATGAAGTAAAAAAAAAATATGTCGTAATTACGACTTAGTATGTCGTAATTACGACTTAGTTATCTTGTAATTACGACTTAATTATCTCGTAATTACGACTTAATTATCTCGTAATTACGACTTAGTATCTCGCAATTACGACTTAGTTTCTCGTAATTACGACTTAGTTATCTCGTAATTACGACTTAGTTATCTCGTATTAACGACTTAGACATAGTAATGACGAATTTGCGGCACAGCTCGGCGGAGTTCAGCAGTGGTTTCAAGGAGGTCTGTCGTTAAGGTATGTATACTTTTCCTCTTGCTATTCATAATCACTAAAAGTTAAGATCATGTACGTACATATATGACTTTGCTTATACATGTAGTCTACAGGCCTTCCCTATATCATATAGAGTATGTGTTAATCTCTGTTCAATTGTGAAATACCCGTTGGTCTTTCGGAAAGCGGAATGTAACAGCTTTAAAAGTTGCATTGGAATTTCCGACAGATTTTTGCGGTCCTGGTTTGAGGAAGGGTTTTTTCGATTCATGTAAACAAACAAAATGCTTTCCGTTGTATTTGTAAACAAACATAAGTTTTATGTGTATTCT